TATGGTTTACTGACAATACCTTGTTTTTTTACATTGTATATACCACAGTACTTAAATAATGTAACCTAAAATGTCTAAAATGTATTCTCACCAAATGTCATTTGTTAGTAGAAATGGCTTTGGTGACTAAATAAAATGGCTTGCCAATTGGACATTTTTTATTAAAGGAATTTGGACTTTTCTTGAGCAAGGAAACATGAAATTGATCAAAAGTGACAGTGAAGACATTTATAATGTTACAAAAGGTTTCTATTGCAAATAAATGTTTTTGTTTTGAGGTTTCTTTTCATCTTATATTTAAATGATAAAGGAGAAGTTCACTCCCAGAATGAAAATTTCCTAATAATTTACTCACCCCCATGACATCCAAGATGTTCATGTCTTCAGTCGAAAAGAAATTAAGTGAACGTGCAAAAAAACTCAAATGCACTTTACAAAAAAAAAAGGTAAAACAATGATGTTGGGCAATTGTGAAGTTGGAGGAGAAATTGAGATGGAGTTTTTTAACCGAAGTACACATAAGAAGAAATAACCATGCGTGACTTTTCCAATGTGATTACGCAATGCCTAGAGTGCAAGATGAGCATTTGTGGTTAAAAAGTATATACTTTTTTTTTTTGAAGAAAATGACCAATCATTTAATTAGATAAGACACTAATTCCTCGGCTGGGATCGTGTTGAAGCTGTTAAAATGCAATTTGGACCTTCAGTATAGTATAGTAATATTTGCACTGTTCTAATTACAGTATAGTGGACATCACTGAAATCCACTATATGGAGAAAATTCCTGGAATGTTTTTCTCAAAAAACTTAATTTCTTTTCATCTGAAGAAAGAAAGATAAACATTTTGGATGACATGGGGGTGAGTAAATTACAGAAGCGGACAGTAGTGAAGTATTTTTACTCTGCTGTAAAAGTACTTTTGAAGTGTCAGAGTGTTTTTCTTTAGAAAAATTTAATTCACAGAATTCCAAAGCATAATATTGTACCTTTTACTGCACTATGTTTCTAATTACATTAGAAATCTATGACTTTCTTACTTTTACTCAAGTAAAAGTAACTCAAAGATTTACTTGAGTACAAGAAAGTACTACATTTTTTAATGTTCTTAAGTATCTAATAAGGTCAAATTAGATACTTAAGAACATTAAAAAATGTAGTACTTTCTTGTACTCAAGTAAATCTTTGAATTACTTTTGAGTTACTTCACTACTCTCTACCTCTGGTAAATCATAAGGAAATTTTCATTCTGAAATGAACTACTTCTTTAAGCAGCGCAACACTGATAATAAGAAATGTTTCTTGAGCACCAAATCGGTGTATGAATGATTTCTGGAGGATCATGTGACATTGAAGACTGGAGTAATGGCTGCTAAACATTCAGTTTTTTCCATTAAATAATAAAAACTATACATTTTACAATATATTAAAATAAATAAAAAACAGTTCCTGTAATAATACAAGAATGTTTCACAATATTACTGATTTTACTGTAAAACTAATTCATCAAATAAATGTAACCAGGGTGAGCATATAAGAGACTTATTTTAAAAACATAAAAAGACGTTTGAATAGTAGTGTATATTGAGTGACATGATTAAATTAAATTAAAGACTGACTACTGAAGAAAACGTCTAACAATTCCAGTGTCAATAACTTTGACCTCACTGGAAAATTTTAAAGAAAAACGTATTTTGCTTTTAATAAATCAATGTGGCAACATGTAAGTTGAATATTCCTTGAATAAACTAACCGAAACAAAAACAATAGAGCATTGTAGTAATAACAACCATGTCACATGTTCACTTTCCAGGGAAGTTATAAAATGCATACCTTCAATGCAATTTTAGTGCGTTGATTTAAGCAGTGTTGGGGGTAACGCATTACAAGTAATGTGAGTTACGTACACTCTTAAAAATAAAGGTGCTTCAAAAGGTTCTTCAAGCGATGCCATAGAAGAACCATTTTTGGTTCCACAAAGAACCATTCAGTCAAAGGTTCTTTGAAGAACCATCTCTTTCTTACCTTTTTATAATCTGAAGAACCTTCTTTTGCCACAAAGGACCTTCTGTGAAACAGAAAGGTTCTTTAGATGTTAAAGGTTCTTTATGGAACCATTTAGACAAAAAGGTTCTTCTATGGCATCGTGAAGCACCTTTATTTTTAAGAGTGTAATCAGATTACTTTTTTCAAGTAACTAGTAAAGTAACGCATTACTTTTTAATTTACAATAGAATATCTGAGTTACTTTTTTTTCCAATTTATTGACTGACAGCTCTCCTGTCCCCATGTTGAGAGAAATCAGACATTATTGTAGTTCTAAAATAAATATGAATATGCATTAATTCATCTCACTCACAAAAAAAAACACAGATTCAGTATTCCTCAAAATGAATAAAAATAATGCAACTCCGAATATGACGCAAACCTGCAATAATTATATGTTAAACAACATAAATATCCTTTATGTATTTAATCCCATTCTGTTAACTACTGTCTTTGCTTCTGACCTTTGATGATCCGGTTCAACCATACTAAGCAAAAATTACTCTAGACAAACATTTGTGTCTTTTTTTTATTGCTGAAGTGTGTTGAAATTTCTTCTTCTGCATTCTACTGTACAGACGTAAATTTACTTTCCCTTCAGCCTGAGGCTTATTCATTTCACTTTTGCTGTGAAAAGGCTTTTATATTTGCCAAAAATATCATTTTTTATTTTAAAAACAAACAAGGAAGCCCTGTCCAGATTTAAAAAGTAACGCAAAAGTAACGTAACGCATTACTTTCCATAAGAAGTAACTAAGTAACGTAATTAGTTACTTTTTTATGGAGTAAGGCAATATTGTAATGCATTACTTTTAAAAGTAACTTTCCCCAACACTGGATTTAAGCATCTGCATAAATGTAAATGTACATTTTCCAGGTAATAAATTAGGTCTTTAGAGGCAACATGAACATCATTTGCTACAAATGAAGACAACAGCATTCGTTACAGATTTCACTTATTATCCAGGAGGAAATGAAATAAGTCATCCTTATCAGATTTGCTTATCAGAGTGCTGTATTTAATTGGATCTGGAAAATTAGACTTTGAAATTGGAAGTTAATATTATATTTCCTTGCCTACACATCAGTACAAAAGTGGTTTCCGTGGTGGGAAAGTTATTATATTTCTAAGAAATATTATGAAAACAAAGATTTTTTTTTCTTTATAATAACATGCGCTAGTGACTTGAGCATAATGACATAATTGAGAAAATAAAGAGGGTCAAGTTTGATTTCATGTTAATTTAACTGTACAACACAGTACATGAAGTCATGAGAGCATTTGCAAACTCAATTACAGTATGTGCTTGTTCTCTGTGAGGTTAGAGCGACTCTCTCATGGTATCTTGTTCACTATAGTCAAGCTGATTGACTGGGAATATTGACTGCACTCACTCACTAATTCGTTTACAAGGACTCATTAATCCAATTAAACCTGGACCACTCTCACATTCACCGTGTATTACATGACATCATTTCCTCTGGGCTTCTGCAGAAGCTAACAAGGTCCTGTGTGTCTAAGATAAGACTGTGTTGCTACTTTAAGAAAAGACACAGGAGCAATTCACAGATTTGCATTTTATCTGAGCTCCTGAAAATGCTGTTTGCAAATACTGAAAATAAAACAAGACATAATCGATATTAGATAACAGCAGCTGGTGTTCATTTTTTCTGTTAAAGAAAATATTTATAGCCTGTTTGAAACTTGATTGAAATCATAATTATAATTCCAATCGAGTGAATAAAGGCGAAATATGCCAGTTTAGCCCCAAACACAGGCTACCTTACACAAGTACTGTATGTAAATGCTTATTCTTCTAGCTAGAAATAATCGAACAGAGTAAAATCATCTTGAAAACATTCTGTTATAATTAAACTAACTTCGGGATGAGGTTTAAAGTATCCCAAGAGGGTTAAAACGATGCCTGATGAGGGAGAATTGGACTGTTTCTCTGATGGTGATTAGCATGCAGCACTGATAAGGTATGTAGAGACTCAGAGCGGCTGCACATGTGTTTCCTGTTTCCGAGTGTGTCTGAGAGGCCCATCATGGCAGCAATCAAGCATGTGGAATGCCACACAAGCTCCAGTATCGCTGATAACCCAGCAGTGACCTCATATTCTTAAAAAGGCATACTATAAAATAAAAGATTATTTTCTTGAACTTTTCATATACTCTTTCCTCAGTCCATGAAGATAATTCCTTTAAACTAGGATGCAAAAATGGTTTCCAAATTAGGGATGCACTGATATTAAAACTCTTGTACATATGATAAGCTGATAATTATTTTCATGGACTGCATTTTCTATACCTTTTGTCTAAATAAATTAAAAAAATATTTTAAATGGTGAATTTAGGCCTCAGAACATTACAATGTAAAGTATGAACGTTTTTATTTTTATTAAATCATTTCTTTTTAAATTGGCAAAACATTACATTTAACAGTTTTATGAAATTCTTAGTGTTTTTAAAGAGTAACCATCCAATACAAATATAAACATTTTGAAAGAAATCTCTTATGCTCACTAAGGCTGCATTTATTTGATCAAAAATACAGTAAAAAACAATAATGTGAAATATATTGCAATTTAAAACATGTTTTTTTTCTTTTAGGATTTCTTTTAAAATGTAATATATTCCTGTGCCATTACTCCAGTCTTCAGTGTCACATGATCCTTGAGAAATCATTCTAATGTGATTTGGTGCTCAAGAAACATTTCTTATTATTATCGATATTGAATACAATTGTGCTGCTTAATATTTTTGTGCAAGTATTTTTTCAGGATTCTTTAATAAACAGAAAGTTCAAAAACTAAAAGTATTTTTCTAACATTAATGTCCCTTTTGAACAATTGAATGCGTCCTCGCTGAATAAAAGTATTAATTTCTTTTTTTTAAATCTTATGGTAATGGTAATGTGTGTATATTCACATCTTACAATAATCTTATGACCTGATAATAATATAATTCACATCCGATCATGTCTCCATGTCATAAGGACGTGGAGTTTGATGAGCATTAGGTATGAAAACCAATGAGTAAAACTATGACCACATAATAATCTTCTGCATCATCAGTATTCAGTGCCTTTGCTGACCTGATTCAATAAAAGCGCCATGTTCCTATCCATGTCCTGAGATTAAAAATTAATATATGTAAAAATGAATCATCAGCAGGCTAGACAATAACACCTCCCCTACGAGCAGCACTGTGTGGATACCAGTGCGGACAGTGTTCTGCTGAATCACGACTGGTTCTCCAGCGGCCCTGATGGCACGATGAATTGCAGCTGCTGCGTCACTCTCCCCGGCCCCCGGGAGACGTGTAATCAATCAGAGCCGCAGCTACATGGGCCGTCACAGCTGCAGGGCTCTGCACCAGGCCATTAAAAGTGCATTACCTTCCCAGCATGCCTTTCACGTCTCCCACGAGGAAGGTGACAAAACCCGTCGCCTCTTCCTCTGGTTCAGAGTCAGAGTCTCTTACAGCACACAAAGCCAAAGGGCCTCTTAAAATGATGTCAACACAACAGCACATTTAGCTCAGTGATTAAGCACTAAATGAATCGTAAAAGATGTTGTCTTAATGTCAGTTCACAAAACAAACTTCAAGCGGATCCGCTTAGGGTATGATCAAAATATTATGTCACTTGAATCAAGAAAAAATGAAATACAACAATTTTTACACTTGAAATTTAACAGAGAACACATTATTGTAGTTTGAAAAACTTTTAAAAAGGGATTTTTTTTTTTAAATGCTCATGAAGGTCTTTGATCATTGTGTGGGTCTTTATCAAAATAAAAGTATTTTATTATATCAGTGCTGTCGATCAATTCAAAGAAATGAACTAATCACAATTTTATTTTTTAGAAATTTATCGTGATTAATCGCGATTAATCCCACCTAACATTAAAGTTTTTAAATATACTTTTATGTTGCAATAATTTCACATTCAATCTTCAAATTAATGTAGAAACAACATAAAGACAGTATATTTGTAATATTTGTTTGAGGACATCTTTTTTATGACCGAAGGCAAGTATCACTGATACCAATACACTGATGTATATAGTTATTATAGATTAATATAGTTAGTTTGGCCAATATCAAATATTGGAAAATAATTATTTTTTTCATATTATTTTTTTAAATTGGTAACGACCCAATATTGTTTATTTAATTGTGTGTCCTCAAAGTTCATCTTTAAAAACAAAAATTCATAACACTGTTAAATGTCTTTAGCAAATCTAAAAATAAATATCAATTTTAATACTGTACAGTATAATGTTGTTTAGGTTTTAGTTATTTCTTCTTCTGATTTATTTATTCATTTTTTGACAAAATTTTATAAAATTTCAATATCGTCCAAAACATGACGGTTTTTCAGTATCAGCCAAAATAGAAATATTGCTGCATCTCTAAAACTAATATTACAGATAGTTCAGATTCTACATTCTGACTGAATAAGCAACATGCACACAGCTGTGATCAGACATCAGTTGAATTGTGTTGCTCAACACATATAAACAACTACAACCAGGTCAGGCACATTGAATCAGCTTTTAATAGCAAGTGGAGAGCTCTTGGGCAAATAATTTGCATCTAAAATTTAAGGCATTAGAAATGGAGGCATTAGAAACTGTTCAGAAATGGAAAGTTTGAGCAGAGTGTGTCACGAAACATGGCACATAAAAAGGTACATGTGTAGGTGTATGAATGAGTGTGGGTTATTTTCTCTATGAGTGTGTGTATGTAGATGATGGATGTGCCATCAGAGATTAACACAAAAGTCATTCTGGAGGATGAGAGAACTCGTGGGATTGATACTGTGTGGGTGAAACAGCTCAGACGCTTCACTAAGAGGGAAATGGGTCGAATGAGTCTACAATGGCTGATCCAGTCACTCAAAATATAATACACTTGTAAAAACAAATATGGTGAATTAAATATGGTTTAACAGAAAATTCCTTGTTTTTTTTTTTAAAACAGGCAGAGATGTCAGCCAATCATAACATCAGTTATTTGAAAAAATAAAATGCTATAAATATATGACCAGTGGTCGACGAAAAGGTCAATACTGATAATTGCAATACTAATCTTCATTAGTTTCTTGTAATAGAATGCTATAATACTTTATTCATACACTCTCTGCATTAAGCAAATGCGCCGTCTTTGAATATCTAATAAATATTTAAAGCCACGTACATGTACATAGCCTGCATAAAATACTTATAGGCAACTCTGTGCGTGACAGTCTGAATTGTATGCAGACAGGAGAGTTTGGCTGTCACTAGAGACACTTAAGCGAGAAATTTTGAATCCCTGATCTCAAACTACGCTGCGCTATTGCTGCTATGTAATATTTACCATTTGCTGTATTTAAAACTAGCATTACCTGGTCTTTGAGAAAATGCCACACAGGCTTGCTTACACAGACTAAGATCTTATTTTGAAAAATTAATTCATGTATGATTCCTTTTCATTCATTTTTTATTTACATTTTTATTCAAAAAGTCATAACTGGATCTTTCGGTGAATCAACAGACTTCTCTGTCAAGATGTATGCCGGACCAATCATTTAGCACAAACCCCACCCCTCCACAATTGAGTACATTTGAGTGCAACTGATGGATTGAACATTTATCCTTTCCAATAATCTCTGTCACTCAGATGTACTTCACAGTACGGAAAAAATGTACCTGGATACTTCCATTATGTTGCAACTTTATGGTAAACTACAAGTGCCACATGTATCCTACACAGACACACATTGAACATTTAAACTCATTTCAGTAAACATTTGTTTGGATTTAGCATTATGTTGCTAAGCTAACTAGCTCCACAAGTACCCTTGCACAACAATCTGTAGCTGTAGGAAAGAAACCACACAATTCAATTAACTATCCCAATACTAACAGGGGACTTCAGGGAAAATAAAATCTGTAGCAGAGTGTGGTGTGAGAGAGACTCTGTGGATGTAAGGCACAACAAGCCATAAACAGATTCAGTGAGAGGCTGACAGCGCGAGTGGATACACACTGACAGACTGTCACCTACTCTGTGGTGCCTCTTACAAGATGAGCTGGTGTGTGGCTATAACTGACAGGGCAACTGTGAGACAGGGAGTCTGGATATTAAGACGGCTATCTGGTGAATGATGTCGCTGTTCGGCTCATTTTATTTTCTCATATGTGCTTCACATCCATCATGCACAGAAACATACGACATCTAAACTTATTCTAGCTAGCAAATGTTTGGATTGACTTCCCGGATCGTCTTGCCTCAAATGTTTTAGCCTTGCTGTAACTGTAGGAAAGAAAATCTAAAGTCATACTGTCGATTTTGAAACAACAATCATTTGAAACAAATACTGCATTAAATAAGTGTTTATTTAAGTGTTATGAAGCTACTAGAATATAATTTTTGTGTACAAAGAAAACAAAAATAATTACTTTATTCAACAATTTCTTCTCTTCCGTGTTAGTCTTTCCCATGTATTCACAAGCAGGGGCGCCAATACGGTTTCCGGGCTCCCTGAACATCATATTGACTTGGGGGTTGGGGGTTTTTGCACACAAAAGTATTCTTGTAGCTTCATAACATTATGGTTGAACCACTGATGTCACATGGACTATTTTAATGATGTCCTTACTACTTTTCTGGACCTGGAACGTTGTCAGTTGCGTTGCTGTCTATGCAGGGACAGAAAGCTCTCGGATTTCATCAAAAATATCTTAATTTGTGTTCTGAAGATTTACTTTGGTAATGTAATTTGGGTGAACTATCCCTTTAATAGCTAAATGTGTCGTCACATTTATCTTTGTTCAGCTAATTACAGTCATTTCAATAGCAATCCATGCAATTGGGTCAAAGCAAATGTTGCCATGTTGACCAAAAGAAAGTTGCTTGGTTTGAAATGGACTTCTGCATGAGCTGTGCTTTAGGGTTTATTCACACCAGGAAAGTTCGCTAGTTCACTTGCTTTGGTCCGGACCAAATACAATGTTGATTTTCTTTGTTTGGTGCGGTTCGCTTTCACACTGCCCTTTTTTGCAAGTGAACCAGAAATTGTAAACCAATTTTCTCATATGTGCTTCACATCCATCATGCACAGAAACATACGACATCTAAACTTATTCTAGCTAGCAAATGTTTGGATTGACTTCCCGGATCGTCTTGCCTCAAATGTTTTAGCCTTGCTGTAACTGTAGGAAAGAAAATCTAAAGTCATACTGTCGATTTTGAAACAACAATCATTTGAAACAAATACTGCATTAAATAAGTGTTTATTTAAGTGTTATGAAGCTACTAGAATATAATTTTTGTGTACAAAGAAAACAAAAATAATTACTTTATTCAACAATTTCTTCTCTTCCGTGTTAGTCTTTCCCATGTATTCACAAGCAGGGGCGCCAATACGGTTTCCGGGCTCCCTGAACATCATATTGACTTGGGGGTTGGGGGTTTTTGCACACAAAAGTATTCTTGTAGCTTCATAACATTATGGTTGAACCACTGATGTCACATGGACTATTTTAATGATGTCCTTACTACTTTTCTGGACCTGGAACGTTGTCAGTTGCGTTGCTGTCTATGCAGGGACAGAAAGCTCTCGGATTTCATCAAAAATATCTTAATTTGTGTTCTGAAGATTTACTTTGGTAATGTAATTTGGGTGAACTATCCCTTTAATAGCTAAATGTGTCGTCACATTTATCTTTGTTCAGCTAATTACAGTCATTTCAATAGCAATCCATGCAATTGGGTCAAAGCAAATGTTGCCATGTTGACCAAAAGAAAGTTGCTTGGTTTGAAATGGACTTCTGCATGAGCTGTGCTTTAGGGTTTATTCACACCAGGAAAGTTCGCTAGTTCACTTGCTTTGGTCCGGACCAAATACAATGTTGATTTTCTTTGTTTGGTGCGGTTCGCTTTCACACTGCCCTTTTTTGCAAGTGA